TAATGGTTTGTTTGCATATCACCTGATGTGAAAGATGTTCATCTGTGAGCCTTATAACAAATTATATTTTAGAAAACATTAATACTTTATAAGGACGTGAAAGAAGCAATTTTGCTTGCACATTTTAGTATCCTTCTTCCTATGCTGCCATTTTCACTCTGGAAAATGGAAAGCAATTGGACTTTTTTTTTTTTTTTAAGGAAAAACTAGGTGAAAGATGGTTGTGTTGAACTGACTGATCACTCTATCTACTCCACCCCACCCTGGTGCTTTTGTGAAACATTGCCACCACCTGAAGTGATCTCTTTTATCCTTGTGATATTTTATAAATTGATGCTTAACAGGAGAAACATAATATACAAATGAGAACCCCCAAGTAGTGATATTTGGTTTACCAGAATTTGATCAGATAATTTACTGCAAAATTTCCAGGATTGTTAAAATCTGGGCTTTTCTTACACAAAGAGGATATTTCTTATACTAAGTAGAGGGGGTGTGAGTCAAAGAAAATAAGAGACCAAAAATATCAGGTACAAAATGCATGAAAATCTTTAAATGCCTGAAAAAACTAAGTTCTGTTTTAATGCAGAATTTAGCCAGTGCCCCTAAAAGTATCTAATAATTTAGTTTAAGGGTTTCTTGTGAGTCCTGTGGGTTCTGTATTACTTTGCTCTTGAAGAAAATCATTTGTTGCTAAGTTTAACAGTTTTAGCTCTCAATTCCATGTTACATGACAGAAGAAATTCTTTTAACCCTGTGGTTTATGATGTGCTACTGGATAAGCATTTGTGTAAAACAGGTGTTTTAAAGAGAACCAGTTATAATTGGAATTTGCAACTATGTGGTGATTTGCAGATCTACCTCTGTCTTACATTTTGCTTCATATCAGTGCCATAATATAATTAGTTTGATCACTTTGTCTCATTTTTCCGTGTCTAAAATTACAGCTTATTCAATATGCTGTAAGTATTTGGAAATAATGACAAAAATTTGGCCAAAATTAGTTAAAGCTTTTTTGGGGGAAGGCTGTAAAACGAAAAACAAGAATGGTCATGACCCATCTGACCGGAAAAATTCAATACTGCTTTTTAAACTGTTGCACTTCCTTTAAGAATTAGGAAATTTTTTATTTTAATGTCTAACTGTAGTTGCTAGAGAAAAGTTGCCAATATCGCTGAGGTTTATGTGAGCATGCTACTGGACTTAACAATTTCGCCTTTCAGAGAGGAAAAATCTTTCCTCTACCCTCTTAGATTCAGTAGTTGGAGGCCTGACAAAAAACAGATTGTTTAACAAGGGAAAAGTGAGATTTTTGTTCACATATGTATGTAGGAGTTCAGAGAAAAATATGACTCAGGAAGTCAGAATATGGGGCCTATACACCATCTTAATAAGGGAAGAAAAGGTAAAGAATGGGCACTATGGAAAAACAAATGACTTTTAGGAAAGATAATGGGCCCTTAGGAGAATAGAAGGGAGATAATGATGGTTTTGTGACAATGTCTGTTTAGGTGTGGTACTGAAACTCCCAGTGGAGAGGATTTATGACCGTTGAGTTCTTTTGGGAGGTTTTGCTTTTAGGCAGATAAAAGGAGCTCGGGGGGCGGGGAGGAGCAGAGGGAGGGCAGGGGAAGACCTCTTCCTACATCTGTTGATTCCTAAATGCCTTCAGCTCAAAATAATTTTTATGCCACAGTGGTGTATTCTGGACCCTTTTATTTCCCGTCTAAAACTTCCTAAGTGTCACAGACCAGAAGCTGATTTGGTAGCTGTGGAGAGATCTCTTAGAATCCACAAACAGAAGACATAGATTTATGGAGAGACAAAAGAAAAAAAATTAATAGTAGGAGCAGATGATAAACTCTTTTTTTTTTTTTTTAGCCCAGAGGGCAGTCAATCAAAATGATTTTTAAGTGTTGATCTCAAAGCATCTTTACATGGTGGAGTAAGGATGGTAGTGGTGGTCTCAGTCAAGGTTATTTCCCGGATCTCAAAGGACTATGTACTGGTGAACTTCCTGAGTGCATTAACTGTTGTGATAAATCTTTTAAAGTTATATCAAATCATCTGGCTTCAGCTTGCAGGGCTTCAGGAAAAGGGTGGATTTAGTTTTTAGCGATGGGATGTCAGAAGTGGAAGAAAATTAGAAATGTTAATTACTGACAAAAATGCACAAATGGCAGGATCCAGCTTATAATGGGGCAAAAATAAAGAATATGAACAGAACTAGAAATGTGTTAATCCACAAGGGCGAGTTATACTCTTCCATTGAAACATAAAATTTCCCTCTGTAATCACCCCCATTTTTATTAAAGATAATCAAGTTAAGACTACTTTTGTTTGCAAAACAAGGCTAGTCTCATCAAACTAGGCCTGATTGTTTACGTAAGTACAGCAATAATAGTAACTGAAGACATAGGCCTTTTAAAGTTTCTTTTGCTGGAACTTTTATTAGGACTCTCAGGTTGAACTTTTAAAAGCCTCCAAGCTAGGAATGCAAGCCGAGAACTCACCATCAGACTTCACTTTCGGTACCCACAGATGTGGATGAATTCTTTTTTCAAAGTCCCCCAAACAGTCTAAGCTTCCTGGCCTGCCAGGAAGTGGCCTTCCTTACTTACCTGTAAGGCTGGGAACCCTGTAAGGGTACCAGGCTGGTTTTCCAGGAGACCTTTGTAAGCATGGCTCCTTTAAGTCAAACTTAGTTCCTTTAAACTGGTCAAATATGACATTCCAGTTAAAGGTAGGTAATATAACCAGAGTTTCCAATTGTATCCTCTTAAAAGGATAACAAATTCTTACTGAACTTATTCAAATAACTATGTTGCCATGAAAATAAAAATATTCAAGAATAGTGTCCAAATTTTGGAGGAATAAGGCAAGAAGTACTTCATTTTCATCTACAAAGATATGATCTGCTAAATTGCTGTAAGTTTTAGACAGCTTAAGAGAAGGGGGTTTCCCTAAATTTTGAAAATAAAACATTAAAGAACAAGCAATACTCTGAGCAAAAGTCATGGAAGAAATCATAATTATTCTTTATCGTTCTACTCAGTCCTGTATGAGAAATTCATGTCTTTATTAATTTGAGGTTAGCAGTTTTATGAATCTTTGAGTTGCTTTATTAGTTCTGGAAATAATTAGTCTAGTAGTAAGATCTTAAAGTTACATAAGCAAAGACATCAGAAGCCTGTACCCTGGAGTGCCTGCTATAGTCCTTTCCATGGGTCTCTAAGACTCTTTTTTTGGAAGATGAAGGCTATAACTGATTACAAGCATTTTTCAGGAAAGCATCAGAGTAAGACAATATCTGAAAATGACAAAAGACTTAAAATGCCAATGGTTAAAGATCTGATGAGAGTTCATTATAACCCAATTGACAAGGAAATTTGGTTGTCTGTGAGTTATGGCTGATCACGTTATTCCAGGACATTTTAAGATAACTGGAGTTATGGCTGATCACGTTATTCCAGGACATACTGTGAACAGTTATGACACTGACAAGTTTCTAGATTAGAAACTTCATACAATTTCTGAACTAATATTAATAATACCTACCCATACAAATATAAGCTATGGAAGGTTAAGTGTCACTTCTTATTTAACAATGCTTGCTATGCAATTTAACGTAACAAATAAAACTAATTAGTTTAGCATCACTCTTTGCAAGGCAGAAAGAACAAATCCCTTGAGATTTTCCAGGGGCCCTCTGGGAAATCTGAGATCAAAAAGACTTTATTTAGAATTTGATTTGGGGAAGTTGTCAAAATGAACACTCGATTAAATAAGATCACAGGTCACTGTGAACAATACTTTGGTTACTCCGGTAACCTAAATGACAATAATTAGTCTCATTTAGAACAGACCAATAATCCAAGAAACTTTTTCCTTTTAACAGAGGGAATTTCAACTTTCATTTTACACGTGTACACTATTAAGCTCATTTTTTAAAATTATAAATAAGTGCATTCATTCTTAGCCAGCTTGACCACTTCAATGAATAAGATATTCTCCCACCGCCCTGCCCCTTCTCTCCCCCTTCCTCCTCCTCCCACCCTTACCCCTGTCTTCAGACGGTTTACAACCTTCTATACCCATTCATGTTTTGTCCTTCACTTTCCACTTTTTCATTCTGGAGCAACCTTTAAATAACCTCTAAGCAACTGATTTAGGACAAAATTACTCCTTTTTTTTCCTTAACAAAAACATCTTTTATTCCTTTGAGACTGTTCAAGATTGTGTCCCTTCTTTTTGTTTCTAGTGTTTTCATCTACGTATATTAAATAGAATTCTTAACCCTTAGTAACCTTAATTTTCAGTGTAAATGAAGCAGACAATTGTGAACTGTCTGTCACATGTCAGCATTCTGTAGATGAGCAGATTTATAAATACACCACCTCAATTTCTAGAGGTATATGTTTCTTAACAGTACAATGTTTGTGGTGAAGACATGTTTATTAATAGACCCAAATATCTTTAGTCTCTGTAAAAATAAGTCAAAAGTAGATAAATTTATGTTTAGTGATTAATGATTCATTATTTTTATCTTATTTGGAAATGATCTAGACCCAGATATAGATACTGTTTCACTTGAAATTCAAACTGAAGATAAAACTCTGGCTTTGGACCATAAACTCGGACGTTAGGTAATGAAATCCTGACATCATTGAAGGAAATGTGGAAAATGTAAGGTATCACAAGTTTCATCAAACATCATTTCTCTCTCCGATAGACAATCAGAGCAGCTAAGGAGAAGACAGCTTACTAAAGCATTTAAACGGAATTATTAGCTGCAGAATATTTGTTTATGCACATTCAGCCCTTTGGAATAAGCAGTACTGTCCCCCATTTCAGTATGCTTTAAATATCTAGTACCGTTTCATAAGACCTTCATTTATCATTAAATTCAGTAAATTACCTGTTTTGATTGGCAGCTCGTGTGGAAAATGGTCGATCATAAGAATATTTC